AGCATGTGTCCTATTCTGTGTCCTTAACTCCTGAAACATTGGGGTCTCATGTTTTAGAGCAGTCAATGCAATTTGGGAAAAAAAGAAGAAATCAATTAAATCTGTGTGATTTTGTAATTAAATTGTGTAATTATGTTACATGTAAATTACTCCTCAGCACTGATTAAAAGTGCACTAGTTGTGCACTTCAAATCTTAAAAGTATATTAAACAACAACAACAACAACAAAAACTTTCAATAAGTTGACTTTGCATTCAAGACAGACACCAATCTTCCCAAGAGTGTATGTCCCAGGAAATTCACCCCATGGTCAGACCGCACAATACTCTGAGAAACTGCAGACAACCCAAGAAGTACACCTCAGACTCTACAGGCCTCAGTTAACATATTAAATGATAAAGTTTGTGACAGCACAATTAGAAAAAGACCTGACAAGTATGGCATGTTTGGAAGGGTTGCCAGAAGAAAGCCACTTCTATCTAAAAAGAACATGGGAGGATAGCTTAGGTTTGCAAGGTTGCATCTGAACAAACCATATAAGACTTCTAGAACAATGTTATGGATATGATATGGATCTTGAAGAATTAGCCTCATATTTATATATACATGTGCGAATATTTTGGATTATATTGCCCCAATAAAACTGAAATACCCTGATTACCCTGAGAAGTCAGCCCTGGCTAAATGGTGAATCTAGACTTCTAAGATGGAAATGTAGGCAATCTGAGAGAAATTTCAAGTTTCTTATGAAATTTTGAGGGATTGTTAAGTTACTTACCAGCAATTTGTTAAGAATGTTAGGTTATTATATTTTTCCAATCTTATCTTCAGCAATGCTGGTAGACCTAAAATTTTATTTTGCACTATTAATAGGGTATTAAATCCTATTACAACTTAATTTCCTGGTGCATCTTTAATTTGTAGTGATTTTTTTTTGTTTTTAGATTCTAAATATTTGCTCTAATATTGTGCATTCTGGGAATGCCTCTTTTGTTGATCATTGCAATTCTGCTACATTATCTAGTTTTGAGCCTGTCTATTTCTTGTCTAATGGAAATTATTTGTCTTATGAAACCTGCATCCTGCTCCCTGGATCCTATTCCCACATCTTTAACCTTGGCAGTATTATACCATTGGTCCTTATATTCAGTTCATAATTAATTGTAGTCTTAATAATGGTTATGTTGCATCCTGTTTTGAACATGCAGTGATACACCCTATACTTAAAAATCCTAACCTTGATCCACAGGTTTTAGCTAATTACCGGCCTATATCAAAACTTCCTTTCTTTTCAAATGTGAGAAGGTTGTTATTAACCAACTCTCCTCCTTCTTAAAGAACAGTGACATATTGGACAAGCTTCAGTCTGGGTTCAGAGCTCAATATAGTACAGAATCTGCTCTTTTGAAAGTGTTAAATTATCTGTTATTAGCTGTTGACTCTGGGAAATGTGGGGTTTTGGTTCTTCTGGATCTTAGCTCGGCTTTCGATATTATCGATCATTCTGTCTTATTGAGATGATTGGAGGAGTACGTTGGAATTAGAGGAACAGCCTTATGTTGGTTTTCTTCCTATTTTAAGGGGAGATCCTTTCTGTAGCTATTGAGAATTTTACCTCTGTCAATGCTGCATGTACATGTGGGGAACCACAGGGTTCCGTTTTAGGCCCTATTTTGTTCTCCCTCTATCATCTTCCTTTAGCTAAGATCTTTCGTGAGCATCAGATCTCATACCATTTTTATGCAGATTATATACAGCTTTATCTTCCAATGAAACCATATGAGAATATATATCTCCAGTTTCTGATTGATTGAGTGAAGTTACAATTTGGATGCCGGATAATTTTTTTTACAGCTAAATGATTCTAAGACTGAAGTGTTGGTTTTTGGACGGCCTGAATGTGTAGCCATCCTTTCCGAAACTCTGCATCCTATAACTAAAACTGTAGGCACTTGTGTTTGGAATGTGGGCATTATTTTTGACCCAGCTCCCAAATTTGATAAACAGATAAATTCAGTTGTTAAGTCAGCATTTTTTCAGCTTAGGATGATTGCTAAAATAAAATATTTTCTTTCTTTTAAGGATCTGGAAACTGTTATTCATGCATTTATTTCAATACAATTGGACTATTGTAATTAATTGTATTTAGGGATCACTCAATCTGGTTTATCTCATCTCCAGATGGTCCAAAATGCTGCGGCCAGACTTTTAACAGGGACCAGAAAGAGAGAAATTATCACTCCAGTTTTGATTCGTTTGCAATGGCTTCCTATCAAGTTCCTATCAAGCACCATCTTACCTGTCTGATCTCCTCTCGTACCATGAGACTAACGGGCCTTTAAGATCATCAAATACTTTATTGTTGCCGGTAACTTATAGCTGTGGAATAATTAGCCATTGTATGTAAGATCTGCCTCCTCTTTCCAGGTTTTTAAATCATTATTTAAGACTTGGTCTGGAGTAATTGCTGTATAATATTGTGTGTGTGATTTTACTTTTGTAATAAATTTGTCATTTGTTTTATATTGTTATTTGTTTTATGTATTTATTTAATCTTTTGTGCAGCACTTTGGTCAGCTCTGTCATTATTAAATGTGCTATATAAATCAATAAAACTACACTAAACATGTCCTTTGAACAGATGAGACCAAAGTGGAGATGTTTGGCCGTAATGCATAGCGCCATGTTTGGTGAAAGCACCATACCAAAAGTCAAGCATGCTGGTGGAGGGGTGATGATTTTGGGCTTGTTTTGTAGCCACAGTCATTGAGTCGACCATGAACTCCTCTGTATACCAACGTATTCTAGAGTCAAATGTGAGGCCATCCATCCAAAATTGGGTCATGCAACAGGACAATGATCTCAAGCACAACAGCAAATCTAAAACAGAATGATGTGGGAGACTGATGAAGTCATACAGAAAAAGAATACTTAATAAGTTAAATTAAGTAATTGCTGCTAAAAGTGGATCTACAGGCAACTGAATCATACGGTGTCCTTAGTTTATCACCCATGGCTTTTCCATATTGGCTTTATTTTTGCTAAGTAAATAATGACACTGTGTGATATGTCATGTGTTTTTATTAATCTGAGGTTTTATTTTCCAAATTTTAAGACCTGCCAAGGTCCAGATGATTTTGTATTTTGTCCCGATACAGAGAACCATGGAATTCAATAGGGTGTCCTTTCTTTCTTTTTTTTTTAAGAAGAAGCTTTACATTTACATTTTCCAACTTCTAAAAAAGTTATTATAAATGAAGTTTCTATAGGTTTTAGAAACCTATCCTTTGGGCTAAACAAAGGATACCTATCCTATCCAAACCTATCCTAGCAGAGCACATGTTCCCTTTTGGTGCCTTTGATCATTTAAGCCAAGCCGACCTCCCATAATGCAACTGACTGATCTCTCCCCTCTGCAAAAGTGCCCGGAAAATCAGAATGATTGAACGTGTCTATTTTGACATAGGCCTAGATCTTTTTCGGTTTGAGCAGCCCCATGGTTCAATCGCTTTCAAGGCTCCCCTGGGTACCGCCGTCTGCTCTTTTAGCTATCTTTAAAAGCCAGTATCTGTTCACATAAAAGTTATGCAGTTTAGCAGATATGCTGTAAAAGCGGTCAAAATGTTTTCAAATTTGATTCAGAAAGATGCTAGTAAGCGATACTTGATCATATGTCAAGTAACACCCACTTGAAATCATTTTAAGAATTTTAAGAAGCTCTTTTAAGAAGCTGGAGTAATTATTTTTTTTCAGGACTGTGGATAATCATGAAATCTTGAGGAAATTATGTGTGAAACTATCAAATGGTAAACATCAGTTAAGGATGAAAAGCTCACAGAATTGACACTCTTAAGTATGAAATGTACCTCATGCAAATGTCTATCAATATCTGATTAGCAAATATATTAAATATTCCAGAAACAGTGATAAATACATCAAGCCATAAAGTACAGCATAATACCAATAAATATCACATCTGGCTCTTTTTATTTCCTGATACAGACCATTTTAAATGTGATGAGATTAGTGTAATGAACATGATGTTGAGAGCGTGGAGAACCTCTCATGGCTGGCAAAAATTGTAAACCATTCAGTGCAGTCTGATTAGTCACAAAAATAAGCAAAAATAAATATCACATCTGGCTCTTAAAAAATTTGGCAAAACATCTTTTTATTTCCTGATACAGACCATTTTAAATGTGATGAGATTAGTGTAATGAACATGATGTTGAGAGCGTGGAGAACCTCTCATGGCTGGCAAAAATTGTAAACCATTCAGTGCAGTCTGATTAGTCACAAAAATAAGCAAAACAGATTGGATACCAAAAATACCACAAAAAAACCTTTAGAGCACCAAAGCCTGTAAAAGGCATTATGGGTATTGAGTCGTCACCGGTTGCAGGCTAGATCAAAGCTTACGAGCATAAAGGTAGTAATTACTGCTTCACAAAATCCCTGACCTTACAATGTTCAATCAGGATGATGCATCTCCAGACTAGGAGGAATACAGAACTCAGAACAGGGAACCAACAAACACTGTTGCAAATGACCTTAGATGTACTATCTTGATACAAATTTGGCTAGAAAAATTTTTGTTTTTCCTTTCCTTTTCTTCTCTTTATTTCAACCCTATATAGGATATTATGGTTCTTTATATTTTTTACAGTGAAATTGCATTACAATTCAGTTAAATCAGCCAAATTTTGGTAACATTTTTGCAGGTAAAAACTGACCATTGTCTGCCGTCAATAGATTAGCGATGTATGAAGCACAGCTCACACAGAAGTCGCTTTTAAACCAAGCAACTTTGTGGCGAACATGCCGAATCTGAGTGAACATTTTCTTGCCCTCGCAAAATTGCCAATTGTGTGGAAATTACAGCATTTCGTCCACAAAATTCTCTGAACAACATTAAATGTGACCGCACTTTTAAATTAGTATTTAAGCTAATGCTGTAGGGACAGTTCACCCCAAAATTTAAACTGTCATCTTTACTCACCCTCATTTCGATCCAAATCTGTATGACTTTCTTTTTTCTGTTTAGCATAAAAGAAGATATAGAACAGAAGTCAATGAAGAAGTCAAAACTGTTAGGTTACCAGTTTTCTTCTTTTGTGAACCAAAATACCGTCTTTTGTGTTCTACAGAGAAATTAAGTCACAGGTTTGGGACATTTAAAAAAAAAAAAATTGTTTTTATATGAACTATCCGTATTACATGCCCTTCTTGTGCATTAAAGCCAGAGGATTCTGAGTACCTGACTATTCTTTTTGAAGCTCATTTCGTAGCTCCTCTATCTGATGATCTCGTTCACATGTGCACAGCTGACTGAGAGAGGAGCAGCAGGGCTGGAGCCAAGGCTTCCATACTATTTGCAGAGGAGAAACCTGTACTGGGACAGGCTTCAGACTCTCTGCATGATGGCTTACTGCTGCCCTTATGACCTCCAGAACTGAGTAGAACTGGGGCTCAGTGTCTGGACTCAGGGGGGTGCTTTCTGTCGGGTCTTTCGACAGGTCATAAAGCAGCGGAGGGTCATGGACCGTGACGTATGGCTTGATGCAGAGGCAGATATGAGTGTGGAAGCAGGCTGAGCTGTTCTCTGGGTAGAAGTCAGGGGTAAAGAAAAAGGCCTTCCAGATTGCGTTACCTGAAAAAACAGGAAATCTAGCTTTCAAAATGTAAACAATCAGTCATCACCTTTATCCATTTCTGAATCATTTACAGTGAAAAATCTTATCTAATATTATCTACCCATTAATATGTGTGTGTGTGTGTGTGTGTGTGTATTTATATTAGTGCTGTAAAATAGCTTAAAATAAATAAAAAGTTTGAAAAAGTATAAAAAGTTTGTTTACATAATATATTCTTCAAAATAAGTAAAAAATAAAAAAAGTCAAAATAAAAAGTTTGTGTTTACATAATATATGTTATCATTTGCGCTTTATACATAAAGCAACTTTAACTTTTAGTTTAGTTGTAATCTATTTTGTACACAATACATACATTATCTAGACCAGTGGTCACCAACGTGGTGCCCGTGGACACTTGGTAGCCCGCATGGAGTCTCTAAAGCAGGGGTGGGCAAACTTGGCCCTTCCAGGCCACTTTCCTTCAGAGGTTAGCTCCAACTCTAATCAAACACACCTGAACCAGCTAATCATTGTCTTCAAGACTACTAGAAAGCTACAGGCAGGTGAGTCATATCAGGGTTGGATCAAATCTCTGCAGGAAAGTGGCCTGGAAGGGCCAAGTTTGTCCGACGGCAAACAAATATCTAGCATGCCAAATATCTGGACCAGTCAGCCGACTCGACATCACGTGGTGTCAGGTGTCGTGACGAGCTACAGCCAATGAGAGAGCAAGGCATGGGTTGAGGTCACCGGAAGAAAAACAACAACAGCAACATGGCTTAAAGAAAAGTTTGGAGCAAAATGTTTCATCGAGCAAACAGCTTGCAGCACTAATTTCTTCCCGACATCCATTTTCAAATAAACAACTCCTGTTTCGCGTCATTCCTGTTCCAATTCTCGCGTGTGTTTTTGTGACAAAACGTGGTTTATAGAGTCGTTGGGTGACAGAGTTGTTGTCAACTCATGTAGTGTGTGACCCCCTGTTGCGGATCATTTACATAGAGTCACGTAGTGTGAACACCACAACGACTTAAAGACAGACAATCAAGTCATGTAGTCTGAACAGCACAGCGATCTGCCGACGTTTAAAGTCGTGTAGTGTGAACTTGGCTTGAGTCGCCTGCCAAGCACGTTCTATAAATAGCCTAAATTAGCGTTGGGCAATAAATGATATCATATCGAGATTATGATAAAATTTATGTTAATAATGATGATAAGCTCTGGACATTTTTACTCAATATGGATTAATCACAACAGAAATAAATGTTACAGCAACCAGTCAGTAACTGAAAGACCATCACGACAATCCGTCAAAATAAAAGTCCGGTTTAACTTGAAATTATATGACCGAATATATTACTACTGTATACTACAATGCAATTCTCAAAGTAATAATAATATTATAATTTTTAAGGAATATCATACAACCAAGTTATTTTTTATTATTATTAATTTATACAGTTCTGTTGTGCAGCATCATGTCTGATAAAAATAAATAAATAAATAAATAAAAAATTTAAAAAATTCAATGTTTTGTTGTAAATTGATTTTCATTTGATTACATTTGAAAAGATTGATTAAATTATTTAAGTTGTATTAATTAATTTGACTAGACACAATTTTTAATGATAAATTTGTACTGAAGCATAAAACATGGAATCCATAAGGAATCAAATGGAAAACACAGAATTTAGGGAAAAATAAAATGCATTTTTGCATAAAATGCAAGATATCAAGATATTAGAGAAAAGAAAAAAAAATGGACTTAATATACTACTCAAATTAGTAATTATTAAGATTGTCAAAACAGTTGTTAACGTGTTACAATAACCTTCCTTAATTAACCTTAGTTAATGCATTAAGTAAGGGATAATCAACGGCTAGCTGTGCATTAAAAGATTTTAATTGCACGACGTGGAGGCAAAGAACCACCCGACGCGAAGCGGAGTGCATTTAAAATCCTTTAATGCATGTCTAGCCGTTGATTATCCCGCTTATTCCATGGTCATTAGCCAAGTTATAGACAAGTTAAAACTAGTATTGCTCTTTGCAGCACAATATTTGACCGAATGGGTAAAAATGACAGTTATTTTCGTCAGTTATGGCACGTTAGCGCTAGCATTCTGCCCGCTTCAAATCAGACACAGAGATGAAATAGTGCGGTAAGATCACATTTATTTGAA